GTTGGAAGAAAGGGGTTGGGATGGTGGATAGTTTCTTTGCTCTGCAACAACTGAAGTTTCTGTTACTTCAGCTCTGGGGAGTAGCATTAGCTCAGCAAGGTGACAGCATGAGGATACCTGACTACTCCTTGCTTCAGGCAAAACAGGATGGAGTGCATTTGATAGGGAGCCCAAGCTCTGCTGAGCAGAAAGTTTAGTTTCTGCACCTCTCTGTCCTAAGTAGATCTATTGACTGATGCAATCATTCTTCAAAGCGCAAGTGAATTGTGAATAATTTACTTGTGACTTCATGGGGGCCAGCTGTCAGAGTGCTTAGCAGATGTGGAAGGTGAAGAGCTGAAACTTCAGATGCTGGTAACACCAGCTTCACAGAAATGTTCTTTCCTGATACAGTAAATGTGTTTAAATTACTGCCATAAAATGTAGTGGTTAAGCCTCTGTTTTATTAGTCCTTTTATAAAAGATGAGAAACTCTGTCAATGATGCACTCTGCCCACACTCCAGAATATTTAAATTCTAATGTGTCTCCGTATCTGCCTTCTGTTTGGTAACGCTTAAGTTAGGTTTCCAAACTCATTAAAGAAGTTTTAGTGCCTACAGCTCTGTTTGGGATGGATGGAAAAACAATCACTGTATTTGTTGACCCTTTATGATCATGAATAAAGGCAAAAGGATTTCGATGGAGCTTTGTGAGTGCTAGTAAGATTTTCCTGTCTCCTTAAGTGCTATCAGTAACAAAGCTTCTGTTAACCATTACCAACACTGTAGAAAGATCTAAGTGTAGCACTCTGAACTGACAGTGGTTTTTCAACTACAAGAAATTTCATGTACTAGTTAAAAAAAATGGATGTACTGTGAGATATTCAAACATCATGACAATGACAATCCCTCTGCCTTCCAGATCAAGAGACATGGATGCCAAAGCGACCATTTTGGGCTCTGTACATTCATTAAGGCTGGGGAGCATCCTGAGGCTTTTAATATGCCTCTATCACTCATTATCCTGGGTTGTGGAAAATATTGTTCAGCTAGAGCCCTAGCCTTCTGTGTTGTCAGGCAGCCTGCTCCATCACATGGAGAAGGAAGGGATTTTAGTTCTGCAAGCAGGACAACAGAAGTAGAAGAATAATATAACACAACACTTCAGAATAACAATCCTAAATTCTGAGTTCCCTTGCAACCAAAAGGATCCTTTTTGAATTGGGCATTCTGGATCGATGCTTTCCAGTCCTTCCATTTGTACCTGTCTCATTTAAAGAATGTGGTACCTGCTGAGAGTGAAGGTATGTTGATCTCATATGCTGTAACAACAGCTGGTATCTGCCAGATACGCTTGCTAAGTCCTAAGGGGCTGCAGTAATTAGGTGAGATATCCTTTGGATGTTGAGGTATGCAAAATGTCCAACGACTGATGAGGTATAACCCACGCTTTTCTGGCACAAACCACCACAGTTTCTCCCTTCAACTGAAATGAAAAGCTTTTAGACATTGCGGGGAACAAATTCAATGGAATCAGGATCTTACACAGAACTGCAGAACAAATATTAACTGGGCCTGAATGCCCTTATTTTAGGATTTTGTCCTCAGTGGTTCCTTTTTTTAATGCAATGAACACTGAGGCTTCAATATGTACTATTTTAGCCAACTCTCTTTTATGAAATGGTACATGACAGCCCATCTTCAGAGCACCAGTAAGACTGTGTAAAGAAAGTAAAGAAAAGCTGTAGGGGGGCAAAGAGAAAGGTACCAGGTAATATACGATGCTGAATGCTACATTTACGTATATAAAAAGTAAGACTTTCCAAACCCATGCAGTTCTCAAAGACTAAGCAGCTGCTCTTTCACCACTTTTCTGGAAATAAGATGATGCATAACATAATTCTATTTCCAAGAGAAAAGCAGCAAGTGCTGGCAAGAGGTTGAAGCCCTACAGCTGCATATCCCATCATTTCTCTCGGTAATTGTTATAGAGACCACAGGTCTACCTGGGAGTATAATGCAAAGCAGAGAACCAAGAGCAAAGGAATCTCTAGGTCTTCCATTGCCTGCAGGTACAATAAAATGAGATTATGTATTTTGGCGTTCAAGTACATTAGTCAAAATACTCAATATTCTCAGTCGTGCCAAAGAAGCAGCAGTAGCCAAGGTCAATATATGTGTAAAACAGGTGATTCAGCAACTATTATTTCATTATCAAGCACTGACAAATTCTAATGCTACCAAGAAGTCCACCCCTAGATAGGAATTTTTAATACGATGTCCTAAAGGGACTATTTCCTGAAAAAGAGGTAGGTGCAGTTTCAGTATTCTGTTAGTCTTTGAGGAAATGATCCCATGCTTCTGTGATCTTAACAAAAGTGTTTCCACCTGAATCTTTAAAACTGGAAGCTTTGCTGAAGGAAACAAGTTTCTGACTAACACTGATCACAGAATGCTTTCTGTGGTACTATCAGCACATGTTCAGGGGATAACAGACACAGATTTGAGGCACACTATATAGAGCAATCAAGAAAGAAAAGATTTGAGCCCACACTTCCTTGGCTTTTAAAGGTTTTCTCCACTGAAAGAGGGAACTTTCTTCAAAGCAACAAAAACTTACAAAAGATGAGGCGAAGACAAGCCTATTAGGCACTCTATATAAACACTACTTTGAAGTAGTCCTCTTAGAAAGCAAAATGGACAAGTCCTCGAAAAACATTTTCTAATCCCCATGAGGTTTAAATTCTTTGTTCTCCCAAGAAAGAAATCAAGGCAGGCCCACTTTCTCTTTGGTGTGATTCAGTGCTGTTTCTTCTACAGCTCTGCAAGCTGCAGCACTTGCACAAGCCAGAAAGCTTCAGAGGACACCAGTCCCAGATGCAGCAAGAACCGCATGCAGCTGCAGGTGGGAAGCGGAGAAATGAGATTTGAAATCTGAGATTAGTATACCCTGGAAGCTGCTCCCCTGTTACAGTGAGTGTCTAAAAGACCATCCACCAGCAGCCCAATCTAATCACCTCTAACTAGGGGATACAGAAGAAGTGACAAAAGAAATCCATTTTCTTATGTCTTTAAACCCAGTAGGGGAACCTCTCATGGTGGAAAGATCTGACATCAGAGAAACAGATTGCTTTTGCACTACTGTGCTCTGTTACTAGAGGTTCAACTTTCCATGCTGCAGTGTAGTAGGCTGCCTCTTCATACCTTTTTCAGGTTTTTATTTGCTGTCTGACACACAGTGTCACAGGCTTCAATCCAACAGAAAGTGATGTAGTCAGACTAAGCAAATATCTACCCTTCCTCCCCATCTCAAGTTGCTGCACATTCCAAAATTTGGAGCTGCAATCAATCAAATTGAAAGTGTTCTAGTGTTAGTGACTAGGGTCATCAGCAATGAAGATAGTTTCCTGGCATCTGTGATTTAATTCTAATTACTTGTTATCCTCTGTGTATGTTTAATAAAGAGCTGCTGGTGCTTTGTAGAAAAGGTCAAAACATTCTAATAATTACCACTTCTGCATACATGTAGCAATCCCCATATTTCTTTTTCCTCGGCTTTTCATTTGCTTAGAAATTGCTGCTTAATCATTGCTTGTTTGCACACCTCTCAGCAGTCACTTTGTATCACTTACATCTCTTGAGATAGCACGTGCCAAACCACTACCCTCAACCCATGAGACAAATGTTATATTGACAGATAAAACATGAGGTATTAAGACTATTTCCATAAATGACTGGCTAGTGTATTACCTGTGCCATGAGTGACAGAAGGGTGATGTTATAATCAGAGGTATCATAACTCCTTCTTTACACCTTCACGTACTAACACCTGGCCAGCTAACACTGACATTTAGTTAGTTCTTGACAAAGGAAGCTCGACTTATGAAAGCAGTGGCTGACTCAAATTGCTGATCCCTCCTGGGAACACAGGCTTTCAGCTGTGGTGAAAATGTGTTGAAATAAAGTATTGATGATGGGGCTACCAAAAAGGTCATTCTCGCTCCTGGAGAACTGTCTGTGTGTCTGCCTTAGTGAAATTAATTCAATTGCTTCCCTTTGGGACCAATACAGCCCACTGATGTGAGTTTAAACAGCAAGGTAGGAAAGCTTACACTGTGTGAGCACTGAATATTTCAGCACTCAGAGGCAGAAGGATTCTCCGTTCTCCTAATTTTGCCTTAAGTAGTCCATGGTAAAACAGACGGGTTTGTTCTCTTATTTAAGAGCAGCAGCATGCAATAACTTAAGAGCTGAATAATATTCCATACTAAGAGACCTGCATGTGAAAATAACTGTCTTCTTACTAACCTGCTTATCTCTCTAACGTCATTCCTAAACAAAGAAAACCCTCCCATGTCCCTGTAACCCCTGTCACTCTCCTGTCCCCTGTACCTCACTCCATCCTTAAATCCACTGAGCTTCCTAGTTTGTAAAGTTGTTCTTCCAACTGCAACTTTCTACAAGCAGTTAGCACAGGAGAAGCACCACAGTATTAACCTGGGTGTGGGTAAGGGCGTGGGTAATTCCCATTGCAATGAGAAACATTTTCATTGTAGACTAGTACTTGACTTGTACTCGTGTACAAGGAATGAAGTGGAGGAACTGAGGTCTAGACTGAAGCCCATTTCTACATATAAAGAATCTGACATATAAACAGATTACTGTGGAGTGACAGATCACAGTGCATGCTATCAGCCCATGGGAAATCACTTATGCAGGGACCGTGCAGAGGAGCAGATGTAGGGCCAGAGACTGTGTTTTAAGGGCCTTGCCTGACCACAAATTATCTTAGCAAATCATAGAAATGGTCACTAATGCTCCACCTATATGTCAGGAATACTCCTACTTCACTTCTTTTGCCTTTATTTATGATGCTTATTTAGACTATGATTGCTTGGGGTCAAGGTTTAACTTTCATTGATACAGTGCCCAAGACAATACTTGACCAGTACAGTCAGAGATACTAGCCAATACTGTAATGCAAGTCACAACACATACCCCATCTTTTTTCAGATACTGACCTTCACAGGATTCTCCACTTGGTGAAAACATCCCATTGTCATGGTAGCCATCTCTGCATTCACAGTGGTACCAACCAGGCAGGTTAATGCAGTTAGCACGGCTGTCACACTGAACAAAGCCATCTGAGCATTCATCAATGTCTGTTTAGCAAGAACAAAAAAAAAAAAAAGGGAAAATTCACACAGAGGAAATTGCTATATTCATCTGAAAAAAGAACAAGGTCTCTGGTATTTTTGGGTTTCACTGAAGTATTTTGATTACCAACAATTATTGATCCACAGGCAAATTTTTGAATCGTTTCCATAAAAGTATGTTTGCTAATGGTGCTGCCCTGCTAAAAGTGATGGTTCTCCAATTTACTGTTTATATATTAGCAACTCATTTCGTCACAACACATGATAGGTAATCTGACATCTGTTTAAGTCACCCACAGTATGAAGAAAGGAATTGGATCCCAGTTCAGATAATAAGATGTTAACCCTTTGATGAGTGCAGGCTGCCTGATTAAACAAGGACTGTTTCTGGGAGCTAACTATTTTGTGGAGTTCCTGTTGACTTGCACCAGCACCCCGACTCAGCATAATGAACAGCAGTCTCCTCTCTCACAATCAAAAGAAACAGCTGGGACTCCAAATAAATGGTTAGACCCTCAAAATGAAATACACATGTTGCCCTGCTTCTGATAATTCCTTTGGGATGTGTGATTTCTTAAAGAACAACATCCACTGACCAAACTTTATAGTAACAACTCATGATAGAGCGGATTTCTGGACACACTCGCTCGATCCAAAACCCATCAAGGCATGTTGTGCAGACACCTGCACTCACGGACTCAGCAGAGATGCAAAAAACTTTGTGACATGTTCATTTTCAGTGCTTTCTGTTACACAGGAAGCCATATTAAGGAACAGGTCCCAGAATGTGACCGTTGTTAACAGTTAAGGAATACCAGCAGTATGGAGTCCAACAGAGATAAAAATGTGTCCTTTCTTCTCAGATGTAGCACATTATCACTGTGTTTTACCATACTAGAGGTAGCATACGTATTTGAGCAGCGAGTTGACCAAAAGATGCCTACAGAAGTGACACGGAGACATAAGGCACAAACTTTCTTCAGAAACAAAAAGCTGTAAACACCCTCCATGAGTTTGAATAATGATTAAATCCTCAATGTACTGGCCATTCTGGCCAAATTCAAACCAGAGATTCAAACTCTTAAAAGTCTGAGCAGATGATCTACTATCCTCTGGAATGTGGCTACAAAGGTGAGGTATGATGTGATCACCAAGATTTATGTAAAACATGTCAAAATTGTGTTCACAGTCCCTGATAGCTCCCATTTATCTATTTTCATAGAAGGCAGTGTAAACTGGCTAAGAAAATCAATTGTGAGCTGTGGTAAAGTCACAAATCTCTTTTCTGAGAATACTAATTTGTGCATAGATAAAGACAAACTCACTCTAGTCACCTATGAAATCCACTCAAACAAAAACTTAAAAAACCTAAGACTTCCTTATCCATCAGAAACACTTTGTGCCCCATTTCAAGGAAAGAAAATTATTAGGTATGTGGGGGACAGCTGCATGCCCTGTAAGGTATCACTCAGTCATCCACATTAGTTTTTGAGTTGCATTTTTCTTCTACATGCCAAGAGGTAGGTGGGATGTTCTCTGGGTATTTTATTTACGAGCCAAATAACATCCCTTTGGAATCTCTTTGGAATAAACGTACAACTACATGATGAGTGTATTGGTTTCTAAATGCTTTACAGTTACTTGATGAAATTTCATTAGAAATTTTCATTATTACGTCTCAGTCTGATTTTCTACCAACAGTCTCTCTTATCAGGTGTGCCTGGTGTACGTTAGCAGTATTTATGATGATGAAAATTACCAGTACTCCTGCTGGAATAAAACACCAAGCACATATTCTTGCCGCTTTGTCTACCACAAATTAAGCCATAAATCTCTACTGGTTTAAAACACAGAATCTTCAACACCACTATGAACTCCAGGATGATCATCGAAGTAGTCCTGTTGCAGGACTGAGAAATGCCAAACCTTTAAAACCTTCTGCTGTTCAGTGTCTCTCTCTGTAAATCGGTATAAACTCTGGCCTTTTCCTTGTGAGCAGCCAGGAGCCAGTGGGACCTCAGAGGTATTTGAGAGATCAGAGCAAGATCAATGAAAATTATGTTACTGAAGAAAGGTTGGTTTGCAGCCTGTGCCTTATCTACTGCTATTCACTCACATACCCGCAGATTACTTAAGAAAAAGGAAAGGAAAAGAAGAAAGGACTACAATCTAGAAGTTCCCTTACTGTGCAGGGAATATACCACCTAGGACATAGCTTGCCTGGCATAACAGAATCTAAGTAACCATGCTAACACTTGGGATCCTCTGGTCAGTAGAAGACAATTTGTAGGTCTTGGCCAAAACTACTAGCCCTAGAGAATCAATGAAGCATGCAATCTCATAGGATGAAAGAGAAAATCTGTTATCAGGACTCAATGTGAATCTTTATACTTGCCTCTTAATAACATGCATTAAGACACCAGACGGCATATATTTCTTCTTTAGTAAAGTGGAATGTATTTATTGGTGATGAGGTGGAGAAAAGAGTGTTATTTAGGTCAAAGTAACAGATATGAATTAAAGAAAGCCTGTGTTCCTCTCTTCAGAAGAATTTATTTGTGAATCTGTAAGCCTTATAATTATAAGCACAGTACTGCAGGCACAGGCTGAATGCATTCTGATCAACTCCCTTACTGATTATTCAGGAAAAACAAGCCTTGAATGTCACGTCAGTACTGGTAAACTGACAACAAAAGCAGCTTCTCTGTATTTATTTGCAAACTAGCTGACAAACCTATATCACAAGAAATATTACTTGAGATGAAACGCTTTTACAGATGTCAATAAACAATGAAATACATTCTTCTGTCTTTTTTTGTGGCTGTGTGCAAAGTTGAGTGGAGTTATGTAAGAAAGCCGACCATAACAAGTGTGGATGGAAGCACGCTGCTGGTCTTTAAGAAACGTCCTATTCTTGACAGATTGTTTGCCTGAAACCATTGCATTGGAGATGAATAATCCATTACTCCATACGTGATTTTGCAGAAAACAAAAGAAATCCAAAACAATTCTCCTCACCACTAACGTTTTAGGCAAACGACATTTTAGAGCACGTGCCAGTGGGTTTCAGAATATAGATGTTCCTTATGCACAGAATTTTGTTCTAGATCTCCCAGCTAGTGCTGATCATGAATTCTAGTAGAGACTTGCTCTGTAACGGGACAAAATATAACTGCAGCAACTCTGTTAAACAAGAAAACACAGCAGAAATGTGTTTTACACAGCCAAAGCACTGATTTCATGGAAAATTTTCTTGACATTTGGATAAAAGGATTTCTATTTTCAAATGGGCATAGCATGGCTCAGGAAGTGCTGAAAGAGTATCTACAATTGAAATTATCTTATTAGTATGGGAAAAGCAGCCAGAAATAATTTTTCTGTCCTATGGTGAAACATTCTCCGATGAATCATCTTGCAGCTGCTCAGTCAGAGGTGTAAGCTGACAAGAGAAGAAAAACTGATTGAAGTTTTGCTTGGCCAGTGGCTATGGTATATCAGTGGGCTATATGGAACATTAACAGCACTAATGAAGTCCTGTTTGATGCTGTACTAGAAAGGCACGAAAAATGAAATACTACTCTATAGAAGGAAGTTACTGAAAGGCTTTCCATTTTTCACTTATGAAAAAAATTTAAACAAAATGTTTAGGTGCTAGGAAAGGAAGAATGTATTTTTTTCAATAGGAGGTGATGATACTTTTAAGCAAATCGACAAAACAGGTATCTTATTCTGAGCATGCAAGTTCCGTCCTTTAAGTGGCTCTAAGAAGCTGTGGCAAAGTGTGGGGAGAAGAAGAAAAAAAAAATAAAATAGGAAAACATCCAAAGCATCCCCACCCTGGAAGTAAAAGAGTCTCTCATATGAGTGATGTGCCAGAGCAAATGGCCTTATTCTCTCCCTGCTCCACTTTATGGCAGAACTACCACTGACTGCCATGGAAGTGGTGTAATCTCTATTTTTCTCTTTCCTTTTCATTAAAGATCACAATTACACGTACCAAAACTGCCATCCCACTGATACAAGTGGCCAAGTTTGGAACAGAAAGTTATACCAAGAGAGTTGATAGAAGTAACCTTCACCCCAAGCTGGAGAGCAGCTACACGCTGTACTGCAGCCCTTCAGCACCGCCTGCTCTGCTGTACTTCACCCCATGGCATCCACATGGCACAAGATTTGTCATTTTGGCTCTTGAAACCCTGTGGCTGGAGAACACACACCTGTGAGGTCGGTCAGCCCACAAAACAGCAGCAACGTGGAGACTCTCTCTACCCTTTGTAACTCACGGATGCATTCAAAGGAAAACTGTGCATACCCCATTGCCAAAAAACAGGGTAACTGCTCATGATGCACTCGTGTTGCACATGATTTAGTTTTCAAATATTCTGGCTTTGTCCTGTGCATTTTTCTTAAACTGAAATCAGTCAGATTATTTTCATATTCTGTCACTCATTTTTCAACTGGAAAGAACCGTTTTATTTTTCTAACTGGAGCCCCACTCTAATAAAGTACACACACAGACACAGGCATTTTGAAAGTAAGTACTGCATACACCTAGCTCCCCTTGACATGAAAAAGCCCTCGCTCTTCCAAATCACCTTCTTTATACCTCAGAATCACTCATTTCCTGAACTCTGGCAACAGTTTCAGCTTTTACACCCCTTGCTCTTGGGGACACTGAGAAAACTCTGCTCCCTGAAGAGTAAAATAAGATCATTAGAAAATTATCCACTGGTACACTAAGAAAAAAGGAAAGCTAGCTGTCTGATGAATATTATTAGAGAATTTCTGTATAATAAGAGCTTTTGAAGATTGAAAGTGGTATAAAATTGCCAATTTGAAAGATAGCAGTGCTCTTTCATCCAGCAATAGGACCAAGCTCTCTAATGTGGACAAGCTGCACTCAACAAAGAACCATGGTGTGGGGGAAAGGGGGTGGGGTGGGGTGGTGGTATACCACTTTATATTACTCACTTTGAAACTGAAATATTAATCATCAAATCCTCCTC